GGGGCTGAGGGGTAGGCAACTCGCAGTCTTCAGGGTTGTAAGCCCCCTTACCTTGGAAGCCACTGTAGCCGTTGGGGTTAGGAGCGACCGAGTCACCACCATTGTGCTTCCAGAAGGTAGCGCTCACGGCGGAGGAGGCGGCCAATGCAATGTAAACCGAACGAAGGAACATTAAAGAGAGTGGGTGGTTTGCACGGTGGAGAAAGGAAAGTTCTGGGGCGGTGGTGATGGAGACTAAATACTTGACGGATGGTGTATAGTTGAGGCGGCCGCCTGCAGCGAGCTCTACGCACCATCATGCAAGGTTTCGTTCGGCTACGCTAAGTCCATAATTCACTAGCGGCCACTAGCAAGGGTGGAGGTGTGGGTAAACACCGGTATCTATCATCGCGTGTCACCACCAGATGTTTTCGGCTCGAAATGTTGGGTGTGAACCTTATTTTGGGGGGATTGGCGCCCTCCAGGCGGGGGGACGACTGGTGGGCACCGCACCGCCCGCATCAACGTGCGTAACCGAGGCGCCGCTTCACGCGGGCACCTACCGATGTGTACAGGTGGCAGCATCGGCACGCGTCCTCGGCGACTCATCGCCACGCAAATAATCTCTGTGTTGGGGGGTCACGCCAAGCTAAACTCAAAAACCAGTGTTGTCAAAACAATGATGTCAGCCCAGCCGATCCAAACACAGCCCTCCATCATCAGACCTCTCTTTGTCTCCTCCGTATTTCATAGGCTTGGGCACGTCAGGTACCTCCTCTTATTGTACGCCATCGGCAATGTCAGGGCACCTCACCTTTGTGCCGTGGGACCTTGTCGTCTATGCATGCAATCGTCTCATCGGACAAAGACGTTTGCGCAAATAAAGTTATGCGGTCCGCCAAAAACGAGCCCGCCAACGGTCGACTGCCAAAAACCAAATACGATGGTATCAGGTGATCAATGGGTCCAACAACAATACAAGTCTAATTAGCTAATACCTGATGATCGCAAATGGTGTGGTGCCTGTGATTGTTGGCTTAGTAAAGGGATCAGTCGCTCGCCGCCTACCGCCGCTGCTTCTCGTCACCTCAATGGTCCACACGCCCTGGCGCCGCCCCTGGCTCCAAATACGAGTCGAAGGGCATGAGGTAAACAAACAGGAGACAGTTTCATTTACAGTTACGAACAGCAGCAGCAGCAGCGGCAGCAGCGGCAGCAACCGCTGAGTCCCATGCACCATCACTGGATGCCCCAAACAGGGGGAACGGAAAACACAATTGAAATACACAATTGGTGCCTGGCAGCAGCAAAAGCAGGGTCGGATCGATGTGTTTGTTGTATTATCGGTCCGCCAATGGGCAGCCCGACGCGTCAATCTCAGGGTGTGGGCGAACGCCGAGGTCCGGTGCGGCAAAAGTGGCGGCACGTCGTCAACGACGGAGAAAACAAGCAAGGAGGGATATCTCACGCGGCAGGCGACACCCTCATCATCACGCGAATAAGGGATAATTGCTGACATAGCCATTGATGAAAACCATAGGCAAAAAGCACGTGAACCCTGAAAAAAAACCTTCATCAAAGCTTAGTGCCGTGTGGATGCTATTTTTAACCCAGACACTTTTAGCGGGAATGTTAGTGACGTAGACTAAGCAACTCTACTATCCAATTTTAGAGACGACTAATTTCGTCCACATTCCCGACACCCGAAACCCCAAACAGACGCCTACTTTTTGTCCCTTTCAACAGGGACGCGTGTGGGTTTTTTTCAGGCGGAGAAGTAACTGACGCCAATTGTACAGGTCTCGAACCGATCTTGTCGCCCCACCATCGGGTCTCGAACTGATCTAGACGCTTGGGGTTGCCTCAAAGTCGATGGTGATGCTGTGCAGGAGCAAATTTCACCAGGGCCCCCGTAAACGAACGTTTATCACAGGCATGCTTATGATTGCTGGCAGGAGGGAAGTGTGATGCAGCGGACGATGAGGAACACGACGGACGTCAGCCAGGGTGCTTGTCGATGTTTTGGTAAATTACATACCGCAGGGGAGCTGCTGCCGACAATTGTCTGCGCCACCGAGTAAATGGGGCCAAAGTGAAAACAAAGGCGGGGTCCGGGGGTGGCGTTCGCCTCGCCTGACCCCAGGTGTTTGTTGTTTACCAACGCGTGATTGCGATTAGTAAACACAAATCACTAGCATTTTCTAAGGGAAGGTGAAAGAGAAGGACTGGAGACCAATGCAAAACAAAGTAAACAACTATTAGAGTGTTGCTGAGTGCATAGTGATGGGTGAATGGTATTGTTAGTGGAGAAATGGGGATTGTCAAACTCGAACCTGAGTGATTCATGATTTTTTCAATTTTTCACAAATAGAGGGGAAAATGAGATTGTGTTGAAAGTGTTGAAGTTCACAAGAGTAGAAATACTCAGAAATACTCATCAGTAGAACTGACCAAATGGTGCTTATGTTTAGTTAAGACAGTAGTAGTGGTAGTTTGCGTGAAACATTTAGAGGCAGATTTCACCTACTTCTAGTTTTCTGGAGGAGTTTACGCGTTGAGGGGAACCACCACAAACACGACCCCAAACCACACACGCGGGGGGAAGGAAACTGGTCATGGCACAATTACACGTAGAGAATAATTAGTCATGGCACAAACGGATGGTTAGAGGCAGTTAGTCAACCATCGCCGAAAACGGCATCGGCCACTAGTTTTAAGTACTCTTCAGTATTTTCGTCGCGGGTACGGCGTGGTTGGCAATTCTTGTCAGTCCAGAACTGGTAGTGGTCCTCTTCAAACCGATCTAGCCCAGGGTGGTCGCGGATATATTCGTCAGGTGATGGGGGTGTCTGTTCACTGGCTATATGAGTGAGATAGCACCAGAAACGAGCGGCGTCACGGTGGTGGTATCCCCCACCGCCTACCATAATCGTGGGAACGCTAGCAGCACGATATACCTCCATGATTGCCCTAGATAGCCCGGGGATGGTGAGGTTCCATTGTCCCGCGGGATCAGAGCCAAGACCATCACATCCAGTCTGAATTATAAGACAATCAGGGTTAAAGTCGTGGAGTAAAGGAAGGATGATTTCCTTTACAATTAGGAGGAGAGAGGTGTCACTTAGCCCTGCTTTCAAGGGGATATTAGCCTGGTTGGCGACGTTATCGGCTAGACCACCTGTCCCAGGAAAAAAACCCACGTCATAACGGTGAATCGAACACGTGAACACTTTTGCCGACCCGCGGTAGCTGGTTTCGACGCCGTCGCCGTGGTGGAGGTCGAAATCTAGGTAGAAAACCCGTTGAAATCCGAGTCTGCGGAGTCGCTGGATCGTATAACAAATGTCGTTGACGTAGCAGAATCCTGCAGCACGTGATTTGGTGGCGTGGTGGCGGCCGCCGTACCAATTAAGTACTAGATTATGGTGCTTTACAGCGTCAGCAGCGGCCAACGCGCTACCAATGAGGTACTGGACGTAGCGACGCATGTGAGGAAACGGTGGGCAATCAAAAGCGAGCCCAACTGACGTGTCTAGGGTCAGTATTTCATCGTCAGAGTCCAGCTCCGAATCGCTCAGAGAGGGATCAGAATCAAAATCAGACCACTCCTTAGTCTCTGTAGTAGTGGTAGCATCATCAATCGGCTTCCTTCTTTTTAATAGTCGTGTTATTAACGCGTTAGAATGGAATTGGGTGAGTTGGGCTTTAGTAGCGGGGGTGACGGTTATTGGAGTTAGGGGAAGGTCATAGGCTTCAATCAAGTCCATTATAAGTGATTGGCGACCGAGGTTGGCTGGGACAGCATCGGCAACCCGTGTAAGCTCAAAACTGGTGACATAGCCAACACCGGCCATCAGCGCCTATAAGACAAAGCGCGTCGCACCAACACGACAACCTCGAATACAAACAACATCGACTACTTTTGCAAGAATCTTCCCTCGGGAGCAGTTGAGTCTGAAAATTCACAGTTCTATTTCCTATATATTTAAATTTAAAATCAACGGTGGGATCTATTGCTTCTATACAACAACCTGAAAGTCGTCATATAAATTCCTCATTAAGAGACTTGTTTGTCTTACTCTTCTTGATTATGATTTGAGTTAGAACTTATTCAATTATTTTTGTCTAATTTCTTTAACTTAAAGTCAAGAGGGCGATTTGTTGTAGCACTCTTACAAAACAACTCTCATCGCGACCGAATCAGCACTGTGTTGGATCAATTCGGGCCACACAGGACTTTTGATCTTAAAAATACAAAAAAACAATAACATGGTTTTGACAGCCAGTGTATACAACACCTGAGTACGCATTGCAGAAGAGACCAGAATCATGATAGTTCAACGAGACGTTGCTAGTCCTAGACGACTAACACCGAACTATTTAATCGGCTTCAACTACTTCTCGGTGTCCTACAACTTGAACTGTTCAGTTCTAAAATCAGATAGGAGTGTCACCAATTGAATCAAATTATCCATGGTAGTGTGTGTTTATTTCTGCTACGTGCTTCCAATACCAAGCATTCTTCCACACGCCCTTTGTAAGCGGGTGTTGTTTATCTTTAAAGCCCAATGTGTGAACACACACACGTGAGGCCACCCAGCGCCCCTGTCGACGTGGGGTGCAGCAGAAAGCCGGCAAGGGTCCCACGCCTAATTTACGAGGATCCATAACGCCACCCCTCTAAAACATTGATGTTTCAGACACTGACAAAAATGACCTCCTAATGATGTGACAATGACCAGCCTATCAATTGATGGTGGGTATGCTATGGACTGGCTAGAGTTATGTTTTGCCGTGCCTAATGCCAGCGCTTCAATTGGCTCTATTTCCCCGTTAACGCGCAAGCAGGCGCATCGCTGATGATCCCCCCGTGGCAGGCCTGTGCGTGGTGACATCTCGCAAGCCTCCAAAGGCTGAATTTAAAAAAAAAACTAAAGGTCACTGGCAGTGACTTACTCAAGTCATCAGTATCTGAAACTGAGAGTGAAACGTCGGTCACCTGAGGTGGGGGTGTTTCAAACTGATTGTTGCATCAATGCTAAATGGATGAAAATGTCGTCGCCGCTCGCACTTGTTATTGTTATGGTTTTTGTGCTTACGCCGTGGCTGCCGCCCGCCCCAACACCACACGGCGTTAGTGCCCACGAAGCAATGAAGGGAGGGAAAGGCAGTGAATAACACACCCATTTATCATTGATTTGAGCTTGTCAGAGGCTGATTCAGTTGGTTTGTCTGGTGTGGCGGTTTGTCGATTGTGCTGACCATCGCGCCGTCTCTGATTGGCCACGCGCCGCGACCGCGCCAGGTGCAGGCGGACAGCCATTGATAAAGCGGCGGGCGCCCTTCACATCCGCAACCTTCCACTGTCATTGCCACGATGTCACTTGTTGGGCTCAAAAACGCCGTGGTCTCCGCCACGAGAAGAGACAGCAAGGACTCGTCCGAGATCGACCACTTGCTCCAGCAAAACGCCACTTATGGGTCGGACGACCGCGGCGCCGACATCGCCCGCGAAGAGGCGATCCTCGCCGCCAAACAGAACCTGGACGACGACGACGACCAAGACAACGGGTTTTTCAGCCACTTTGACCCCCGGGTGATGTCGGACATCATCATCGGGCTTTCCGACGGGTTGACGGTGCCGTTTGCCCTCACCGCCGGGCTTTCATCTTTGGGCGATACGAAACTTGTCATCACCGGTGGTCTCGCCGAGTTGGTTTCAGGCGCCATCCTGATGGGGTTGGGGGGTTTCTTGGCCGCGCGCTCAGAACTGGAGTACTACCACGCCCTGGTGAAAAAGGAGAAGATGGAGTTCTTCAAGAAACCAGAATTGGTCAACCAGGAGGCCGCCGAGATCATGCTTGACTTGGGGGCGCTGGACGAGACGGTGCTGCTGTTTTTGAAGGATTTGGACCAGCAACCAAAGAACTTGATTGATTTCGTGATTCGCTTTGGTAAAGGGTTAGAAGAACCCGCCGATGGCCGTCAGTTTACGTCGGCGTTAACTATTGGGCTCGCCTACTTTTTAGGTGGGTTTGTGCCCTTGGTCCCTTACTTCTTCTGTCATCATGTTGGCACAGGGCTCATGGTATCAGTGATCGTCATGTTAATCACATTATTCATTTTCGGGTACGTGAAGACAGTAGTGTCTTTAGGTCCCGACTGCGGCTCCTGGAAACGAGTGCTGGAAGGGTTACAGATGGTGGCCATCGGCTCGGTAGCCGCGGGCAGTGCCTGGACGTTGGTGTACCTCATCGACAAGTAAAGGGAGACTTGTATTTCCATATTTGGCGAAATTTGGCGCCCCGGTCGCCGCTCGAGGATGCTTAATAGAGACCGGTGTGCCCCACCAACCGCCCCACAAACAAGCCCCCTGTGCCCGCTTTACGACCCCGCTAGCCGCGATGATAACCCTTTTTTCATGACCTTTTTCAAGTCGAGACACTCGAGTCTCGTGTGCCCCACTGACGACTCTCTCCCGACAATTATCATTAGACATTTTGACGAATACAATTTTTGACGACAATGTGTAGACATGTATCAGCCTAATTCAGTGTAAGCTGTCAATTGTAATCAGTGAGATAGCTTGAGTCCTTGAATGGTAAATGATGACAGTTTCAGTGACTAGTGTGACTTCATTGATAGAACCACTATTGTGCTTATATCACTTTGAAATTGAGGTAAACGCTTGGTCGAAAACTGAGGTTGGCAACGGCATCGGCCTATATCCATTTGATAGAGTGTGGCGTTAACAATGAGTTAGATCTAAAGGTTATTCGATTTACGAAGGATTGGGACGATATCTGTTAATGACTGGATAACATTCTCTTATTGGATCATAGTTGGTTGTGCTATTTGTGTAATGTGTATATCTTAACGTGCGATTCCTTAATTGACCGATTAAATTGGATCCAACTGTAGAGCAATGTAAAAGATCTTTGAAGGACACTCTCATGTTTTCGTGGCAAACCATCAGCTACGTCGAGGAAGTTAGCAATTGTCTGCTAATCTCATCTAGTGGAGCATACACAGTCTTACAACTTATAATCATGAGAGAGGTACACATAGAGAAGTGGTATCTTTGCGAGACAACTATATGTCTTTGAAACATACCAATCAAACTCATCGGATTAATGCTTTCTAATGTATTTGATCATGTAAACGTTCTAATCATATTTACCGTTGCCAACCGTTTAGTTCGTGTAATGGCATTTGCTCAACCAATCGTCTTTGATTCAACGCAATTGAGTTACCAAGGGGTGGGTTTTTCCATGATGGCATAAATAGGAGTGCCGGACTTATGTCCGTTTAAGGGAGTCGCCGTATTCCATCAATTCGAAGATCAACAGCATATTGGGACAGATGCGGTCACAGGACTCAATCACGTTACCCTTATCGGTAACGGCAGCCACCACCAGCGGGTTGGTAACCCCTTTAGTCCCCTGTTTCAAAAGATCATACGCCTGGTTGACTCCAAGTGAAAATCGCAGCATAAAGAACGCGACAATGACACACGCCAGTCTCAGCACCCCGCACTGGCAATGCACCAAGATGCGCTTACCATTGTCATAATACTGAGCCATTTTCGCCACAATCAGCGGGAGCAGCTGCGAGATCGCCAGCGTGTGTTGCCAGGGGATATAGACATATTCTGCCCCCGACCGACTAATAAACTGCGGGGTAAGATCAGGACACTCCTTGGCGACGTTGACCACGAGATCGTAGTCGTTTATATCGACTTTCACCGCCAGCAGCTGAGGATCCAGAAATAAGAAAATGCGGTTATTGAGGACACTGCGCGGTCCGTCGGCGTAGGCGTTGACGCCGTTCTGTTCTTGAAGCTCTTCGGGGAGTTTGGCGTAGGGGACGTAGGTGACGGTGGTGGTATGAGCTACCAGCAGCGCCAGCAGCAGTGACCGGGAGTTCGGGGTGAGGAGGGTCGTGGTTATGGTCCCTTGGGACAACTCAGGAGTGGTGGCCGGTGCCGGTGCCGGAGCTGATGCTGCGGGAGCGGGAGCGTCTGATGTGGCGGCGGGAGCACCGGATGCGGCGTCGCTGGGTAACGGCGGGAGCGCCTTGGCATTAAGTTCCAGCGGCAGTAATCGCGCTCGCCGCCGGCGCTCGCTGGGCGCCGACGGCGCTGACGACGCTGATGAGGGCGCTGAGGGCGCCGGGGGCGCCGCCAACGCGAGCGCCAGGCGCGCGTCTTGCTGTTTCGCCGCCAGCGCCAATTGTTCCAACGTCACATTGGAGTCGCGGAGCTGGTTCAGCTGGTGCTTCTTGTGGACGGTGCGCTTGCGTAAAAGCGCCTCGTTGGTCTTTTCGGGGACGGCGGGGGGTATATCCAGCGCCGGCGCTAGTAGTGGCGCCGGGCGCGGGGCGCGCTTGCCGCTGTAGTGGCGGTAATAGTCATCGCCGTCGCCATCATCCGCATCGAGAACCCGATGAGTGAGCACCAGCGGGTGGCGGTCGAGGTCGTCGGAGAAGATCAGCTGCAGCGGTTCCAGCAGCACCGTCAGAAAGCGTTTATGCGGCGCGGCTGTCAGCGGCATGGGGGGAGTGTCGAGGGGCAGCACCGTGAGCGAACGCGGCAGCACCGCTACCAGCGCTTCCGGCGCCAGGAATATCACAGGCGAGCGCAACTGGGTTAAAGAGGGCACCGCTCGTGGCAGCCCCGGCGGCGGCGCCAATGGCGGCGATGACGATAATCGTGGCGCCGCGGTAGTATTAGATGTAGGGATGGCGCCGTTAGCGCTGGCGCTGGTCACGCGCGGCGGCGGTGGTAGTAGTGCCAGGAGTGAAGACGAAGCAGGAGGAGGCGCCAGCGCCGCCGCGGGTCGTTTTGGTTTGAGGGTTAGCAGATCGTTTGAATGGTTTAAATGGGCCGTGACTGCTGGTGGGTGGGTCGGGGTCAGCGCCACTATTGGCGTCTTGATTGAGGTATCGTCGGCGCCGTGAGCGCCGCCGTGGGGGCGACTAAGCGCCAAGTTGAGCGACAAGTTCTTCATGTTGCGCTGAGGGCGCCGCGGCGACGGCAGCGCCGTTAGCACCAGCAGCAGCAGCAGCGGCGGCTCGAGCGCCACCGGCGCCGCCTCTCTGGGCACCCGCGCCGTCGCCAGCGGAGCGGCCTCGGGGTCGGACATGGCCGCGGCGGCTGGCGGCGGCTGGCGGTCGAGGAAGCGGGGGGAGCAGTGGACGGAGAGAATCGTGGGGAGGGCGCGCCAATCAAAGCCCGGTGCTCTCGTCTCTAGGGGAAACACACACGGCTCTGCGGTTTAGGAGTCAGGCAGGTGAAAGGTGGTGAAAAGGGCAAATTTGGTGCGCTATGGGAAATAGACGGTTAATGCGCTATGGGGACGGGATGGACGCCTGGGAATGGGGGACGGTCGTGTATGGAGGGGATGAGGCGCTTGTTTCAGCTATGGATCGTTATCACCGAGGCAAGGTACGAGTGACGGGAGCGCTGGGGGGACAGGTGGCAAAAAGATGGGAAATAAAAAAGTGGTATCGAGGAAGAAAGAAAGCGTCAGTGGCGCGCGTGGAGTGTGAGTAGTTGTAGCAGAGGGTGCGCGTGCACGCGCCCGCGGGCGACGGGGGTCACGGGCTCATAGCGCATAAAGTCGTGCGCGGAACGAATATTTGTCAGGGGTTCGTGAAAAAATACCCTTAGTTGAGAGAAAGTGTGAGAAAGTTGTTAAATAATTTTTTCTCATGTTTCTGGTGGGTGAGAGTCAGTCGCAGGAGACAATAGCGCAAACCGCCCGCGAAACAAAGGGTGGCAAGCGCAGGGTTTGTGGCGGAAATGCTCCCTGGCGCTCGGTGTAGGTAATACGAGGGGTGATTGTTCATGTACTCAATTAGTAATTGGATCTAGATGGGTGGGTATAGGGGGGATTTGAACACGACGAGAGGGTAGTGGGTTGGTGGGTGGCGTGGTCGAGCGTCAGGTGAGGTCTCCTGCACATGGCCGACTATTTTTTATGTCGCCGGCGGTAACACAGGGTTACCGGGTTGAAACTAGGTTCGAGGGCTTAGGTGACGACGCCCACCGTATACGTCGTCATGATGACCCAGGCGGGGAGCGGTGGGTCGTCTCGCCCCGTGGAACCAATGCCTAGACCACACCACTGCCCTCCCTCCTGGGTGAAACCGCGTTTCACTATACGTTTCGGTTTTTCCTCAGGGGTGTGGATTTACATACGAAAGGGGATACCGACGCGTCGGGCTCGTGATCGATATAGATTTAGTTAGGGGGCAGGGGAGAGGGGCGACGCCCGCCTGACGTCGTCATGCCACCCGTGTCTTGCCGGCGTTTCAGTAGTGTCTCGCGGTAAAACAGGGGGAAAAGCAGGGGCCGATGCACTTTAGCCAACGGCAATGGTTGCCGAGTCGCGGCTACCACCACAGCCCCCCTGGCCACTACGAACGAAGAGGCAGGGGACCACCATTACCTGTAACAGGGGCAACAGAAACTGATAACACGCCACATGGGCCTTTGGGCCCCAGTGGCTGACCCCCCCCCCCC